TTAGATTAACCATAATAAAATCATTTTGATAAATGTGTAATATTTTGATGAACTTGTCTTCGCTAAGTGTATTGAATAAGTAGTTTGGATTAAAAATTGCAACACACAAAAGCATTTCAATTGATAAATGCATTGAATGATATTGGTAGCGTGCATATCCCTTACGTAATAAAAACGACTAGCTCATGACCTGGTCTACCTATATCAGATCAAGATGGAATGAAAAAATGTCTTTCACTTCAACTTTCATTGAATAGAGTATATGCTAAAATTTTTGACCCAATTTATGTGTGTTTTAGTTGTCTTAATAGTAAATTATGAGTACTTGAATTGAATCATCTATCATTGCATTAATCTTACAAATGCATTTTGGCCCATTTTATATATTTTTCTTGTAAGATATCTTGCTGAAATTTATAAATACATAATTTCTTTTTATAAGATAAAATCATAAGTACATAAATATAAAATTTATTTGTATAAGATAAAATCCTCTAAAATTAGTTTTGTCTTAAGTGAGCCGACAATCTCCACATGTAATTTTTTTTTTCAATATAGCGAATTCTCTTCCTTTTTTGTGCTTTTTTTCTTGGATATTTTACATAATTTTTTTTGTTTTAATTAATTATTTATTTTATTGTTGACCGCTTCTATTCTATAACAAATGGTACTAGAACAATATTGTTTTATTTATGATGGCAATGAAGAAGTAAGATTTTCCATTATTAGATCGCAATATTAAATTTTTACTTTGGCAAGTTATGATGTGCACAATGGAATTTAGATGATGTGATGTTAAGATTTGACAAGATGCCCTAATCTTAGATGTTGAAGAGTAAGCAATGCAAGGATAATAATATTTTATCTTAGATTCATCTTCATATGTTAAATCAAATTTTAAAGAATATTATAAAGGAGAAAATAGCCATTGAATTATAATTGAAATTAAAAAATGTTTGCATGATAAGAAGTCTCACTAATAAAATACAATGAAGTCTTGTATGCAATCCCCATATGATAGCTTAAGTTGCCTCTCTAATAGATATGTTGACTACCTTTAAGTAAAATTTCTCTACTTTATTAGCCATCAAGGTTAGTATGATGAAAAGAATTGGCATTAATCTTGTTATGTTTAATATCACCATCATAATCATAATTTAGAAATAGAATCTTATCTGATTGGGGGCACTTGTTCAAGATAAAATTTATGATGTCATATTTCTAAAGAGAAGAAAAAAACAACTTATGGTTGAACTTGCTTCACATGGAGAAAGCTTTGTTATTAAAGATAAGGCTTAAAAAAATGAGTTCTCATGTTAAAAAGAAGGGTTCATTAAAATACAACAAAAATATAAGATCTACAATTATTACATGAAGAAAGGGCATATCAAATATGAATGTTACAAGCTATGCAAGAAGAATAAAGAAGTGACTCCTAATAAAAAAAACAAAAAAGAAAAGAAAAACAACCAGATTATTTTGGTGAACCCATGCTGTTAAAAAAGCTATTAGTAGTGATGATTTCTTAGGTATCTCTAATAGCGAAAGCTATTCTTGATTCTTGATTTATATGTGTCTCAATATTGACTAATTTTCAACATATAATTGTTTGTTTAAAGGTATGATGTTAATGAAAATATTTCTCCTTTTAAGTTAATAGTAATCAGAATTAAGATGTTTATTGAAATTATCATGACACTTAACAAAATATGAGATATGTCCTTATATAAAAAAATTAATTTGTTTAAGTATTCTTATTTTTAAAGGATAAATGAACCTTAGTGGGTGGTTTTTTGAAACGACCACCATCGACTATCACTCGCAGGTCGTCGTTGAATACTATTAGCCACAACTTGCTCCTTGCAATTGAACGCTTAATGAGTCACAATGTGCAATGTAGAATCCCAACGTATGTTGCAGAACAATGAAACACCTGTCGGAGCAGTACATCATCAAGTATAATGTGTAACGACACACCCCAAAAAATGTGCAACAAAGCACCCCAAAATGTGGTGCAATAGTCTTCCTCACATATGGTGCAATGATGCACCCTGCATATGTTGTAAAGACACATCCCAATGATATTGTAACAACATAAACTACATATGGTGCAATGAAGCCTCTTGATGACGATGTAAAAATACACCTAGAAGATGATGACTTTCTATAAATTCCTTAAGCTCCCAACTCTGACCTCAATGACATAAGGACGTCATCACAACTCACTACCATAACTTATACAATCCAGTTTGCTTACAGCTCCTGCAACTTCTGACTCCAGCTTCTACGACCTATGGTTTCATCTTAACTAACCTCTACGACCTATATGAGTAATATACAATCTACATGGCTTAGAGCTCATGAAGATTTTGACTCCAGGAACCAACTTCTAAGGCCTACGAACGCCATCGTAGTTCACTATTATGCCCTCTATGAACAATTACAGTTTATGTAGCTCACTGTTGTTATAGCTCCCAACTTTGTCCCTTACAGCCTACGAACATCATCGTAGTTCAATACTATGACATATAAGACCAACTAAAACTTAGGTACTCAACTTGTGTTGCCACCAACTCTTGTCCTTACAACCTACAAACATCATTGGCACTCACCACTTCAACTTATGTGACCAACTGCGACCTACATGACTCACATTACATACAGCTCCCAACTCAAATCCAATTGGCCTACGAACATTATTACAACTCTACTACGATTTACACGACCAACTGCGACTTACATTGGTCACAACTCGTGCAACTCCCGACTTCTCCCTTACAACCTACGAACGTCATCACAGCTCACCACTACAACTTATGTAACTAACCACAACCTGCACAACTTATAACTCGTGCAACTCCTAACTTATGTTTTTTGTGGCTTATAAATGTCATCACAGCTCACCACTATGACATATACATTCAAGTGCTGCTACAACATTCAATTACAACATCTATAACATTCATGTCATGTTATTGCCTTCACAACCATCAACTATGGCCTTAGCAACACATTATAGCTATTATTACCAAACTAATTATGTATATCAACTTTGTAACTCCATTTCCTCTGATTCTGCAGAAGAGTGGACTCATATATTTACAATTTTACAGTAAATTATTTCAACTGCGTTAGGCTTCTTATTTTCCCCTTTTTTCATGGATTTTCACATAATGGGTCAAGATGTCTCATGTTTACTTTTCTTTAATTGCGCAAGTGTGTGTTAAATTTTCGTGCAAGGTTAATACGATAAATTCATTACTTTAGTACCACGAACATTCCAACACACATCAAATATTGTTTTTATTATTATTAATTAGTATTACTATTATTACTAACCCAACTACTCATCTATCCCTCCAAAACAACAACAACAAGCCTTTATCCTGCTAATTGGGGTCCAATGCATGAATCTTTTTTTTCTCCATCATGTCTTATTGAGTGTCATATATTGATTTAATTCTAATAAATTAAGATCATTTTTATACAAAATTCCGATGTCGTCATCCAATGACAAAATACTCACAAATTGCTCTTCGTAGGGGTCTCAAATTTGGCTTTGCCTGTGGGGTTTAGGTTTGACCAAAATTATCTCGACCTGAAACTATTTGACCTGAACTCGACCTAATTATTAAATGAATAAAAAAATCCAACCCGAACTCACCCACTAACCCCGACTCGAATCTAACCACTAGAAATTGCTTAACATAAGACAAAACAACTATTGGATAATTAATTAACCTAAATAGTCTCTCATCTAGCTTTTACTTTTAGATTATCAAATATTCAAGGAAGTAAATACAAAATACAAGTTTTCAAAAAAAAATTATTCTTTTTTTTTTGCAACAAATATGAGATTAATTATTCAAATATTAGCTATTTCTATGTTTAAATTTATTGAATTTATTCTTATGTGTGTGTATGTTTTATAATATAATTTTGATCACAAATTTAATTAATATTTGCATCTAATATATCATTATTATGTTAATTATACCATATTTAATTAATTTTATATTTATTATATTAACTGGTTCAATCCAAACTGAATCAATAAACCTTAACATTTCAATCTTTTAATGTAATGTCCCATCCAATTTTCTCAATTTTATTTTTTATCCATATTTTACTAAAACAATTTACACGCGTAAATATTCACCCATATTTAATGTCCCATCCAATTTTCTCAATTTTATTTTTTATCCATATTTTACTAAAACAATTTACACGCGTAAATATTCACATTTGTGACCGTTGTTGGCCCTTATTTTCTGGGCTTGGAGTCGTGGTATTCAACGTTCAAAAACATATCTAATTTTTTAACACGCACCCGTAATATAACAAAAATTATAATTATTAATTTTGTAAATACCTAAAATTCAGGTTTTCTGCTATAGTTTCTAATAATCTGAGTGTGAGTGTAGGGCTGTAAAAGATAATGTTCGGCTCGTTTGAAATAACCAGTATTTGAAATCGGCTCGTGAATAATGTGTTCGTATTCTGCTCGATTTAAATATTTGTGTTCGTGTTCGGCTCGAAATTGGCTTATTAAAATTAAATTGACAAAAAAAATGACGTAAATTGTCGGATTTGAACCTGGACAAAATGTATACAAAATAATGCACTAACCATATTACCACATGAGATGTCATAATTTTAATTTAGATATAAATATATGTAATATATTATTATATAAATAGTTATATAAATTTTTTTTTTTCGAGTTACAACGAACAGAACACGAGCGAACAATGAGCTGTTCGTGATTGACTCGTGTATAATTCGAGCTTTAAAAACTTATTTATATTCAGCTAATCGGCTTGTTTGCTTAACGAACGAGCAATTCGCTAACAACAAGCGACAGCCCTATGTAAGTGTAACACTTATAGATAGGAATATTAGTTTTGCAAATATATTAAATTTTTATGTTCTGCATGTTATTATCCCTAACCGCCATTGAGGAGCTGGGGTAATTTCGTAAATGAGGCATCTATATATTGCTTCCGATGCCCCTAGGGTTCCTCCTCAACAACCGCCGACCCTGAGCAGCTGCCAGAGAGAAAAAATTCTTCAGCTGTTGCTCACTCTGCAATCGCGGTGAGTTTTCTTCTTCTCTGGCATTATTTTCAACGCATATTGGGAAATCAATTTCCAAGCTCTAGTTTTCTTTTTCTTTTTTAATTCAATTACCCGTTGAGTCTAAAAATTTAGGCAGATTAGATTTATGATATTCTCCTGCTTGATTAACTTTAGATTTTTTATACTGCTGTCGAAAAATTCTCATGTTTTTTATGTTAGAGACGATCGATCGATTTGATCGTGTCCCAGTTTGTTAAATTTTATCCCAAAGTAACTGATTTAATTGTAATTTAGATGCGTTAGATTAAGATCAGCATGGGTGGAATGCTATACATGTTTGCGTTTATGTAATGTTGTGAATAAGTAAAGATGAATATAGATGCTGGGGAAAAAAAAAGGAATTTTGCTTATGAATGCGATGAAGAAACCCCACTGGTACTTCTATGAATTAAATGGTGTTGGGTGATTGTAAATTTGTTGTAAACAAAGTGTAGAATCAAAAGGACCAAAAAAAATCTTTTTTTGCTGTTTCGCTCTCTTTGTTATTACTCTTGATTTCTTTTTTATTTGAGCGGTGCTTCCGTTGCTGAGCAAAATTGTTTATAGCTTTCACCCCATATAATTATTTATTTTTGGAATCACTGAAAGTGTGCATCATTCTTTTTCTTTGATGATACAGAATTGCCAAACAGATTTACAGGTTTAACTTTTTCTCAATGTTTTATGTGTGTTTTTCCATTTGAATGGTCTTGAGCTTTTAACGAGAAATTGTTTGTTTTCTGCGTTGATGCAAAGATTATTTTTTCAATATTCTATTTTCTAATCTGTAATTGTTTGATTGCTTTTACAGCTTTATTTTTTCATGTTGTTAGTAGAAACCCTGGTTTTACAATTTGCATTTCTTAGATTTCTTCCAGTTTATATGGTTTTAATGAACACTTTTATTGCAATTCTTTTGTTATTAAAAGAATGGCTTTTATTGCAATTCTCGTAATTTACCAGCTTTATATATGTATCCTTGGCAATTGGCATGAGGGATTGACCTGTCTCTAGGAGGTCTTCTAATTTCTAGGTGATTTTGCTTGTTCTTTCCTAGTTTTGCTGACTTTCTATGCTTCATTTATTAGGGATTTATGCTCTGAAAGACTTCATCATTATTCTCGCTCTGTGCTTCCATTCTCTCCTTTTTGCCAGTTAAATTGTTGGGGCATTTGCATACATACCACACAATTCCTATGTATTCACATGTCTAACACCTAGAATCTTATATTTACATAACACTAATCCTTAACATCACATCAAAATATCACTACTATTAACTTTTTAAAACTACTAACTACACTTTCATGCATAGGTTCATGACACCAAAGTGTTATATGTATATATACTAAGCTTTAGGTGTTAGATATGTAAATACTATGTGGTATATAAGTAAATTTCCTTAAATTGTTTTCTTGTTTAGTACTTGGCCATTAATGGATTATTCTATGTAACTCTATTTTGAATATGCATCATCCTTTAGTCTCGAGCTCTGGCAGTAAGATTGTTGTGAAGCAATTTGTTGATTGCAGTTTAAGAAGATAAGCTATGGGAAAGGAGAAGGTTCACATCAGCATTGTGGTTATCGGTCATGTTGATTCCGGAAAATCAACCACCACCGGTCACCTCATATACAAGCTTGGTGGTATTGATAAGCGAGTTATCGAGCGGTTCGAGAAGGAAGCGGCTGAGATGAACAAGAGGTCATTCAAGTATGCATGGGTGCTTGACAAACTCAAGGCCGAGCGCGAGCGTGGTATCACTATTGACATTGCCTTGTGGAAGTTCGAGACCACAAAATACTATTGTACTGTCATCGATGCTCCCGGCCATCGTGATTTTATCAAAAATATGATCACTGGAACTTCTCAGGCAGATTGTGCTGTGTTGATCATTGATTCCACTACTGGAGGTTTTGAAGCCGGTATTTCCAAGGATGGCCAGACACGTGAGCATGCCCTTCTTGCTTTCACCCTTGGTGTGAAGCAGATGATTTGCTGTTGCAACAAGGTAAACTTTTGTGCATATTTTTATCTACTTTTTTTTAATTTCAGGTTTTAATTAGCTGACATGATGTGTATAATTTTAGATGGATGCCACCACGCCAAAGTATTCTAAGGCGAGGTATGATGAAATTGTGAAGGAGGTTTCGTCCTACTTGAAGAAGGTGGGTTACAATCCTGAGAAAATCCCCTTTGTGCCAATATCTGGATTTGAAGGCGACAATATGATTGAGAGATCTAGCAACCTTGACTGGTACAAGGGTCCAACTCTGCTTGAAGCCCTCGACTTGATTCAAGAACCGAAGCGTCCTTCGGACAAGCCCCTTCGTCTTCCTCTCCAGGATGTCTACAAGATTGGAGGCATTGGAACTGTTCCCGTGGGAAGAGTTGAGACGGGAATCCTCAAACCCGGAATTGTGGTGACATTTGGACCTACTGGCCTGACAACTGAAGTCAAGTCTGTTGAGATGCATCACGAGGCTCTTCAGGAAGCCCTTCCTGGGGACAATGTTGGCTTTAATGTCAAGAATGTTGCTGTTAAGGACTTGAAGCGTGGATTTGTGGCCTCAAACTCCAAGGATGATCCAGCAAAGGAAGCTGCAAATTTTACTTCGCAGGTCATCATTATGAATCATCCAGGCCAGATTGGCAATGGCTACGCTCCTGTTCTAGACTGTCACACCTCCCACATTGCTGTTAAGTTTTCTGAGATATTGACGAAGATTGACAGGCGCTCTGGTAAGGAGCTTGAGAAGGAGCCTAAGTTCCTGAAAAATGGGGATGCTGGATTTGTGAAGATGATTCCTACAAAGCCCATGGTTGTTGAGACATTTTCTGAGTATCCTCCGCTTGGGAGATTTGCTGTTAGGGACATGAGGCAGACTGTTGCTGTCGGAGTTATAAAGAGTGTGGAGAAGAAGGATCCAACTGGAGCCAAAGTTACCAAATCTGCTGTGAAGAAGAAATGAAGTGAGGACTGCTTCGTTTCAATTGTGTTCGAGTCATTTGTTGTTCGTGTCTGCAGGTTTTTAATTAATAAGTGTGATTTGGTCGACTTGGCATCTTGTGTTTGGATGCAGAACTGGGTGCTTGACCGGAGGTGGCGCTGAAAAATTTATTTTGCTTGTTTTATGTTTAATTTATTTTGCATTGTTAAAGGTCTTTGAGTCTGTTGTTGAAGACATTGTGTCGGATTTTTCTTTTCCATGGTTATTTCTGAAGTGCAATTTGAACTAATATGACGTTTGCGAAGCTTGGATTGGTTTACAGCCTAAATGTGCTCTTCAACTTGTTTTCCTTTGTGAGTGTTTTTTTATTAACTAATCACAGGCTCATTTTTCATTAGCAGGATATAATTTTTTATTTATTTGGCCTATATGATGCAATCTTTTTTCCCTTTAGGTACAACTTTGGAAAAGGGGCTGTTGCTTTTTCTCGCTGAATTTTAAATATTACGTACAGCGGATTGCATGTCTGGACAATGGTCTGGGTTCGGCCACGCGTTGTGTCTTGCACGGCAGCCCATCTGGATCTTTGATGGTGTCTCACACGGCAGCCCCTGGACCTTTGTCCGGAAGTGCAGTTAATATTTTCTCCAATTCAGGACCCTTGTTGTAAATTCTCTTGAGAGATGGTTCCTGGTAATGCAGGCTTCTCCAGAATTGGCTAATTTCATTATCATCTCCTCTTTTTATTGGCACCTTTGTTTTTTGCTTCAGCCCAGTTTTCTTTATTTTTTATTTTGATGTGTCTTCTCTGTGATTGTATTTTTTATTTTTTCATTGTAATTTGACCTGCTGTAACTTTGTTCTTCTGCATTGGGAATTTAGGCTATGCCCTCACTTTTTCTATTTGTATACTTTTCGGGTCTGATGATTATTTTTTGCCTATATGACCTATTGAGGTTCAATCTGATTGCCATATTTGATCTTATTTGTTGATATTGTATATATTGCTGTTAAATGGTGGCTTTACAATGATTATGAGATAAAAAAAAGGGAAGATTATATACATACCAGCTAATTTCTGTCTTTACACCTCTAAAATCTAAAGTTTGCCTTTTACATGCATGGAGTTTGCCTTTTACATATATGTAGCTTTACCTATACATGAAAAGTGCTTCAACTTTTAAAATTTAAACATTTTATACATGAAAAGTGCTTCAACTTTTAAAATTTAAACATTTTATATTTTTGGTGTGATATGAAAGATTTTGGTGATATGAATGTTAAGTAAATTTTAGATATTAGATGTGTAAACACATAGAAATTGGGTGATATCCCATGTAAATGCCTAAAAAAATATGCCAAAATAAAAAACAAATGGGCATCAATATCATGAAAATTTAATGATTTATCTAAAGATTTGTTGGTTTGAGTAGTCATTTTAAAAATAATGAATAATTATTATATATTATTTATTATGATATATTATTGATATGTCATCAATAAATTTTCATAATTTGATTATTATGAATCTTAGAGTATTTTATGAAAAAGAAATCTTCAAATTGAAATTAAAATCATCTAGTATTTGATTTCAAAAAACTCAGCAATCTAATTGGTTGGGCGAAGCAAACCCAATGACACTAAAATTGGTCAAATTTGATTCAAATTTAACATGAATTAAAGCTTTTTTTGGAGGTTTTCAATGCATAATTTGAAGGTCAAATAGATTCCAAATTAGACAAACTATTAGACAAAACTAGCATCTTGACATGACGAATCCAATGTGCCTATGATCACTAAATTATGACATCATTAAAGCACTCATGTATCCATAAAAGATCGCCTCATCTGGGAACATTTCCAGGACGTCTAATGGAGTAGTCTGGATTCATTCCTTATTTTTGGGGAGACTTCTCACCAACTCTATAAATTGAGTCCTACCCCTCTCTTGAGAGGGAACTAAGATCTTAAACCCAAGGAAGCCCGAGACTTGGAGAAGGAGTTGAGGTATTAGTGTTCCACGTTAAAGGTCCAGTTAATGTCACTCACTCCTGCAGCCACTGACCACTGTCGGCAAACACTCACCGGCCACCATCGACCATCATGGACCATTTTCGGGCACCCTCTACTCATTGCAATAAAGCCTTCTGCGGAATTACGACGTGAACTGCAGAATCTCAGCGTACGTTACGGTGTAACGAAGCACAATGTAAAGCAATGACCAACATTGCAGAGTAACACAACATCCTACAAAGAAACAATTTCCAAAGACAATGTAACAACATATCTTGAATAAGTTACAATGACACAACTCGCATGTGGTGCGACAAGACCTCCCAAAGAAAGATGTAATAATACACTCCACAATAACTGCTTATAATAGTCATACTTAGGATACATTTATTTTTTCCGGATTTTTGAAGCTCTCCTTGTAGCTCGCCATTATGACCAATATGTCTATGTGGTCCACAACTCATACAGCTCTCAACTCTAAATTTTATGGCATATGGACATTATCTCAACTCATGCAGCTCCCAACTCATGTCTTTATAGCCTACAAATGGTATTACAGCTCCGCGCCATAGGCTTTGCGACCAACTACAACCTACGTTTCCACAGCTCATACAACTCCTAACTCTAGCATCTACGACCTATGGACGTTAACTCATGTGGCTTCCAACTCCGGCCTATGCGGACTACAAACGTAATCATAATTAATGCGGTTATCAACTCCGGCTTTTGCGGTCTGCAATTGTCATCACAACACTTAGAGCTCCCAAACCCGGGCACTGTGGCTTACAGCTGTTATCACAACTCACTAATATTGCATACATGACCAACTACAATCTATGTGGTCCACCGCCCATGCAGCTCCCAACTCGAGACTCTAATGCTTACTAACGTTATCACCGCTCATGTAACTTCCAAATCGACCTTTATGGCCCATGAATATTATCACAGTTCATATAACTCTCAACTCTGACCTCTATGCCCTATAAACGTTATTATAGCTCACAAGTATGTCTTATGTGACCAATTATGACCTACGTGGCTCACAACACCGAAAGCTCTCTATTACAGCCTCTGTGGTCAATCAAGAATCTTGAAGCAACCATTTATGACCCTACATAACTAACTACTTTCATGCCTTTCAACTACAGTCTTTCAGTCTTTATGACAAACTAGTACTACAGAAGTTATCTACATTATTCATGGCGGACTACTACCTCAATAACAATCGACTACTGTCTTCGTGACCCGTTATAGTTACAATTGTTGAAATACTATTGTATATCAACTTTGTATTTTCATATTCCCTAAATCAGAAGAACAGAGAGCGGATATATTCACCATTGCATATTTAATTATTTCAATTGGGCTTGATCTTATGGTTTGTTCTCTTTTTCAGGTGTTTTCACGTAAAAATCATGGTATCTCCTTCTGTTCAGTTCTCTTTTACCTGAGTGTGTGTTGGATTTTCGTACAACGCTAAGACACTAAAAAATTACTCTATCGCTCCGACACACATTAATTATTAATAAATAGTTAGAAGTATTATCAATAATGTGATCTAGATTATTTAAATGTTAAAATATAAGTTTTAGGAACATAAATATGAGGTGCTTGTCAGACATAAATAAAACAAGGAGCATAATTAGATTATGCTCGGGGCGAACAATTGCCAATCATGACATTTGCAATTTCGTTATATAAATAATAAAATTTAATATTTTTCAATGTGATTTATAAAATTAATTGATTTTGCCCCCGTTATATTTTTTGCCCAATGCTTCAAATAGTATAGACTTTTTATAATTTTGCCCCCCTAAAAATAAGTTATATTTTTTGCCCAATGCTTCAAATAATATAGACTTTTTATAATTTTGCCCCCCTAAAAATAATGCTGCAAAATGCCAAGAAAGAGCGTTTGTTACATGCTGGCCTGTTCAGGTCAAGAACTATGAAAGGGTATTAAAACATTTGGTATTTCAATTGAAAACATTGGGAATTGAATTTCATCTAAAAACTAAAGAATTTATACTTTTAACTAAGTAAAATGTTTCAAGTCTGAATGTGCAGCGATAAGATTTCTGACAGAATAAATTTTAAAAGTTTACATTAATTATTGAAATACAATTTTTTTTTTAATTGATGTAACAAATTTTAATTGGTGCACAGGCTATAAATGATAATATTGAGGAACCCTAAGTACATGTTTATGAATTGAAATATCAGAAACATCAGACCTATCACGAGCTGATCAGATAAAGTAGAATCGTGTCTCATGAGTTTGTTTTATTAGACTAAAATGATCGATTATGGACTGTCCACGTGAACCGCACCTCACAATTAGGACAGCTCGGCGTAGTTTAGCAGCTTCCTCTTTACCGAACAAAAGAACAATATTTTACATGCGTACCTATAGGAAGATTTACATGCGTACCATTTAATTTTTACCTTATATATGTATGGAAATATGCATTTCACAATTTTTTAAAGTTAAAATAATAATAAATTTTATCTGACATGAAGAGTGGGTGCAGAGCTGGAACCATCTCTTTTTTTTAGAGAAAAAATTGCGTATGTAGGACGTACATAGTGTTGCGTACGTCAGATAGGTTACAGAAAGGGTATTGAGAGTTATATATGCGTTATACCCTCTGTAACCTCTTTGTAACATACATGTAACTAGTAAATCATATATTTGTATAGAGAAAAAATTGCGTATGTAGGACGTACATAGTGCTGCGTACGTCAGATAGGTTACAGAGAGGGTATTGAGAGTTATATATGTGTTATACCCTCTGTAACCTCTCCGTAACATACATGTAACTAGTAAATCATATATTTGTAAGTTGCATGTATGTTACATGGAGGTTATAAGGAGTATAACGCAGATATAAACCCCAATACCCTCCCTGTAACTTACATGACTTACATAGCGTTGGGTCTTAAGTACGCAAAATTTTCTCCTTTTTTCAGGGAGGTACATTGTTCCCCTAAACCCACTGTGAGAAGGGTTAGGGTAGCAAAAGAGATTGTAATATTTCAAGAGAGACAAAATAATATTTTAGGAGGGCAAAAGACCATATTACCCTCATATATAAGTAAAAATCTAAATTTATGAGGACCAATTGCTCCCCTAGACCCAACCAAGGTCTACTACTGAGTGTGTGTATGTACACAAAAAATAAAGTTTAGGTGTTTAATATTTAATTGCTTAAGAATTAGGTGGTGTGTTATAAATGCCCCATATCTATATTAGGAAAAAATATTACCTCAGGAGTACTGATGCATCAGTGTTCCAATGATAGGGTGCCACGTGGCGCCACGATAGGATCATTGCATACGTGGCACCTCACCATTGGAGTACTGATGCAACAGTACACAGTACTTCTGAGGTAATATTTTTTCCTAAATTAGGCCCTCTTGTCCCGCTTTGCTAAACTAGTGTGGGTCCTCTCACCAACCGTACATCCAATTTGGTGTAAAATTATGAGTTAAAATTTTGTCTTTGGTCAGATCAAAAGTCCTAGAAAGTCCTTCTAATGCCCTGAACCTACCCCTGTTAGTATTTTATTAAAAGTCCTAATGCCCTGAACCTACCCCTGTTAGTATTTTATTCTCACCTCCAAGTGAGCATAACTTGATTGTCTTTAGCAATTGGATGGAAAATTAGCGACCGACGATCAGGAAAAAAATTTGTGTACATATTACGTACGCATCGCTGCGTATATAATGAAAGTTATATGAGTGTTATATCAGTATTATATTCACGTTATATTTTTTGTAATTTTCATGTAACTTCTATATAACTTACATGCAACCTACCTGAACTTACAAATAAGTTCCGCGCTTCTATTTTCACATATATGTAGTTTACATGTAGGTTACATACAAGTTATATGGAAGTTAAAAGAGATATAACACGAATATAATTCAGATATAATGCTCATATAAACTCTATTATGCACGCAACGCTTCTTATGTCTTACCTATGCACTTTTTTGCCGGCGACTAGCGGCTGTGGCTCTGTGGCTCAACCGACAACCGACGCATAACCAGGACTTAATTATATAGATGAGCCGAATAAGATTTGAGGTTGTTTCTGATTTATCCCCCAATTTAATTTCGTGATGAAAGAGCAAATCTGTCATCTTTGACAATTACGGACCCAACTCAAAGTCAAAAAGTTGTTCCTCCCCTTCTTTTAACTGCCCCACCTACATCCCGAAATCACGATCTTTCCTTTGCTCACTCCCTCCCTCCCTCTTCTCCATTCTCTTGCCCTTCATGCATTAGCCCCGAAACCAAACCAAAGATCAAGTTTTTGAGGAAGCCATGAGAACAGTAACAGACACCATTCTCCTCCTCCTCCTCCTCCTCCTCCCCACTTCCATCCTCTCATCAATCTCTCCATTCTCCTGTGATGCTTCCAATCCTTCCACAAAAGATTACCCATTTTGTAACGTGAACTTGCCTACAGAGCGGAGGGTTGATGATCTCATCGCCCGCCTTACCCTTGCGGAAAAGATCTCCCAGCTCGTCGACAGAGCTCCTCCCATTCCCCGCCTTGGCTTGCCGGGCTACAAGTGGTGGTCCGAAGCTCTTCATGGCATCTCTGATGCAGGGCGAGGCATCCACTACAACGGCTCAATTTCGTCCGGCACCAGCTTCCCTCAAGTCATTCTTACTGCGGCTTCATTTAACCCCTTGCTTTGGTACCGAATCGGTGAGGTAAATCTTTTCATTACAGCTGAATCAATTTTTTGCTACCGCCAAGTATATGTTTTACAAATTTTCATTCATTTTGGAATGTTCTTTAAAGGCTATTGGAACCGAAGCTCGAGCGTTGTACAATGCCGGGCAGGCAGAAGGGCTAACATTTTGGGCACCGAACATTAATATTTTCAGAGATCCGAGATGGGGCAGAGGCCAAGAAACTCCAGGGGAGGACCCATTAATGGCGAGCAAGTATGCTGTCTCCTATGTCAGAGGAGTGCAGGGTTATTCTTACGGAGGAGAAGGTGGAGCAGGGCTCAAGGCTTCAGCTTGCTGCAAGCATTTTACTGCTTATGATCTCGACCGTTGGAACGGAGTTCTTCGGTACTCATTCAATGCAAAGGTAACTACCAAACCTTTTATTTTTTTTACCTTGAGTTTTTATTTTTCAATTAAGGAAAAGAGCTGTTTGTGGCTACAGATTTCAGTTCAGGATCTGGAGGATACTTATCAGCCTCCTTTCAAGAGCTGTGTGGAACAAGGTCATGCCTCTGGAATCATGTGCTCATATAATCAAGTTAATGGCGTTCCAACCTGTGCCGATTACAATCTTCTAACAAAAACAGCAAGAGGATTGTGGGGTTTTAATGGGTGAGATGCTAAAAACAGCTGTGGTTGTTGCCTTCATGCTTTATTTAGACCTTAAATCTATGGGTCTGTTTAACATCACCATATTTCAGTATAGATGATCATTTATAAAGTAGAATTTCCTCAAATAAGGCCACACCCATAAAAACAAGTTAAGTTGCAACCATTTATTATAATCATGGCTTCCTTATAAGCCACCCTCTAATAGTTGTGCGTTACATCATAACCTTGTTTACTTAAGTAGAACTGAGAGGTTCGGTTGTTTTACATGAACAATTTACTTCAGCCAAAGTGCCTTTTTTCAGTAAAAATGTAAAATATAGAAAAATCATGTATCAACAACTATTTTGTCTTTTGTTTATTCACAGTTACATCACTTCGGATTGCGATGCTGTCTCGGTCATTTACACGAGCCAGAAATATACCAAGACCCCAGAAGATGCAGTAGCTATCACGCTGAAAGCTGGTAAACAATGCAAACATTAAGACGAACATGTAATCTAGATAGCAAAAACATGAGTTTAAATTGCAAAATTACTACTTTATCATCTCATATACTTTCAGGAATGGATGTGAATTGTGGAGAATATGTGCGGAACTACGCCTACTCCGCCATTAAACAAGGTAAATTATCAGAAAAGGACATCAACAGAGGGCTTCACAACCTTTTCTCCATAAGAATGCGACTCGGGCTCTTCAATGGAAGTCCCAACCACCTTCTCTTCGGCAACATTGCTTCAAAACAGGTCTGCTCTGGCGCTCATCAGAACCTGGCTCTTGAAGCAGCCCGAGATGGTATTGTTCTTCTGAAAAACTTGAAAAAAATCCTTCCTTTGTCCAAATCGAAGGTTTCTTCACTTGCTGTGATTGGTCCAAATGCAAACCGTGCTTCAGTTCTGCTAGGAAACTATAACGGACCACCATGCAAATCAAACACTCCTCTTCAGGTACTGCAGAACTACGTGAAGAACACAAGATTTTCGGCTGGCTGTGATACTGTTATCTGTAACACAAGCCATATTGATGAGGCAGTAAAGCTGGCCGGCTCAGTGGACTATGTGATATTGTTCATGGGATTGGATCTGACTTTGGAGAAGGAAGATTTAGATAGGGACAATTTGGTGCTTCCTGGGATGCAGAAAGAACTTATTACTAGTGTGGCAAGAGTTGTGAAGAGGCCGGCGATATTGGTTTTGCTTTGTGGTGGTCCTGTTGATGTTTCGTTTGTTAAAAATGATGAAAATATTGGAGGTGTTCTGTGGGGAGGATATCCTGGAGAAGCTGGTGGTTTGGCTATTGCAGAAGTTATCTTTGGCGAGCACAATCCAGGTGAAGTATATTGCTCTTTATGTTAATTTGTTTTGGGCTTTCAATGCAGCACAGCACTTTGTTAAAAGATGAATGAGAAATTCATTTCTGTTATAGGTATATGTCACTTTTTAAAAGAAAAAATTCCATTCTTTTTACTCTTCATTATGAATTACCAATCACGTAACTAAAAAACAAAGCCTTAGTGCATTTGTGTTTGGTTTGGTGTGCAATTTTGAAGTTATGAACCCCGCAAACTAAAATTTTTGTAAGTAATGCAACGCTATCCAATACACTTTTAAAAAAAATTGTTGATTTGCTGGCATGCCTAGCTGACAGATTGAGTTGGGATGTAATATTTTTGAAGTACATAAATTTACTTTGCTTTGCATTTTCAAAAAAGGTTGTAAAGATCACTTTTTTCCATTCAAAACCAGCATATCCAACGGCTTGATCATGCTTTCATGATTTAAAACTACAGGAGGAAGACTTCCGCTCACATGGTACCCACAAGATTTCACCAAAGTTCCCATGACTGACATGAGAATGAGAGCAGACCCAGGTTCAGGGTACCCAGGAAGAACCTACCGCTTCTACACTGGCAAGCCAGTCTTCAAATTCGGCCATGGACTCGGCTACTCCACCTTCTCCTACAAATTCAAATCCACACCCAAAATCCTACTTCTTAACAAATCAGCCACTGCTCTTCAATCCAGCAACAACAACTCAGGCATAACCGGCTATGACGTTTCGAAGATGAGCAGATCAGAATGTGAGCTGCTGAAGCTCTCTGCCATAGTGGGAGTGGAGAACCATGGTCCCATGGATGGAAAGCACTCTGTACTGCTGTTTTTGCGCAGGCCAAGCTTGGCAGGAGGCAGGGCAAGGAAACAACTAGTTGGATTTGAAAGTTTAAGCTTGAAGACGGGGGAGACTGCTCATGTTGAATTTGTGTTGAAGCCATGCGAGGATTTTGTGCATGTTGAGGAAGATGGAAGGAAGTTGGTGGATTTGGGGTCTCATTTCTTGATGGTGGGGAAAGAGAAGCTTGAGGTCAGCGTCGTTGCTTGAATTTGTGGGTGGAGCAGCAAGAATTCGAGAGCTTTGAGCCGCCAAGAATCGGAGATCATAAATTTGTAAATCATGGATTTCATCTTCGGGTTTTAATAAGTGGATGGATGTTTTAGACTGATTGATAAGTATGCTACAAATTCAGTATGAATGAATGGTTTTTAAAGATAGAATTTTAATCAGAATTTTATAGAGTAATTGCTTACGGATTTTCTCCTTGAGTTAATCAATCAATACTCGAGGGAAAAGTACTAATACGCTGGTCCTGGCTTCAGCACTCGACATATGAAAATTCATCTATTTCTATTTACAATTAAGAAAGGGTTATCACTGCAATGTTGATTGCGTAATATAAAATGATTTCCAAGCCAATAAATGAATTATTAAAAAATATTCGCATCACGATCTCCGAAGACAAAAATCAGTAAAAATTGCTGGCATTTGGTTAAAGCAACATAACATTTACATCAAAACACAGTATTTAAAAAATACGTGATAATTTGTTTATATGTAAGACGATACGAAAAGAAAAAGTCAAATATAAGGCATTTGCTCATAAGAATTGAAAATTTTGTAGACTATTGATAGATTTTGATGCATGTTAAGAGATTCATGGCGGTAAAATAGCAAATTATTATTTTAGTATTGTATAAGGATTCAACGCAAACTCAGATGAAAGAAGATAGTCAATTGGGATATCATAAGTTTTGATGTGAAAAATCTGGAAAGGAAAAAAAAAACCACAGGACCTTGCCTAATATGTACAACCTCTTATCTCACAAGCGTAAAGGGATTACACAGTTTCTTGGGTTACAATGTCGGTGCGCAGAAGAACTCGTTGCCCTGCGGCAGGGAGCGGTTGCAGAGGGGAGTTAACGCTGGAGCTTCAATGCACTGTCTCAGCATGAAGTTCGGGATGATGCGCCGCTTCATAGGTTGTTACGTGGTTATGTGGTGTTGGTGGTTGAGTTGCACGATGTTTCGCCGTAAGGAGCAGACAACGGTCGATGACGGTCACGGTAGTTGGAGTTGGTCGTAGGTGGCTGGAGTCGACGACTACTAGAGTTGGCCAACAAAGGCCGTCGGAGGTGGAGTTGATCATTCAACACGAATCTTGAAGCATAACACTAATCTTGAGACAATTTTTGAGTAATAAACATTCAAATTTTAATCATAATTCATACAAAATTCTAATTTTAACAAACTTATATAGTGAAACTGACCAGCTCAATGAGACGGTCCCAACGGTACCAAAATTATCCAATCTGTATTAAATCAAGCCCAGATCAAGTCAACAAACAATTTTCAAGAGCTTTTCGAGCATAACTGGACGATCAAACAAATTTCAATTCTAACATGTTTATATTCAAATCGAGCACTTCAGCGAGACAAATTCAACAAGCACAAGATTGCTCAATTATAACACCATTAAGTCTCCTAATGCTCATTGAATGCGATCTGATTGAAGAAATCTATCTGAAATGTCAGATTGGAGTGGAATGAATTCATTTCTTATTTACAACCTGAACTCTATAAATAGAGCCCTATCCCTCTTCTGAAAGGAGCGAGGGACCTGAAGCCAGAAGAAGTTTGAAACTTGGAAGAGGAGCTAGAGTCCAATATCATTCAGGTGAATGCCTCTCACTCAAGCAGCCGTTGCTGCTATTCCAACTAACGCCGCTGCCTCCAGCCAATTATGCCCGCCCCCACTTCCAGCCAACTTTGGTCACGACCAATTCCAACCATCTGTGCATTCGACTAGCTCCGATTATTTTTGTCGGTCAACTCCGATGACTAACGTCTACCGACCACCGCTGACCATCATCGGTTGCCACTCACTCTTTGCAGTGAAGTCTCTTGTGAAGTCACAATGTGCACCAACAAATCCCATAGTACATTGTAGAATGGTGAAGCACCTCACAAACGGTGTACCAACAATTTTTATATGGTGTAATGACGCCTCTGATGGCGACATAAAAATCCACCTCAGATACGGTGTAACGACACACTGATAACAGTGTACAACGCGCCATAGATACGGTTTAAATACGCCTCATGAAAATGGTGTAACAAATACTGTGCAACAACACACCCTGATGATAATAAAATAAAGCAACTCGGATATGTTGTAATCATGCCTCCTGAAGATGGTGTAATAACACACCCCAGGTACGATACAATGACACACCCTGATGACGATGAAATAACACCCCCAAATGCGGTGCAACGACACCTCCCACATATGGTGCAACGACACCTCCCAAAAATGGTGTAACAACACAACCCAGATACAGTGCAATGACACACCTCTTGTATGGCGCAACGACACACCCTAATGACATTGCAGAATGGTGTAGCATCTCACAAACGGTACAACAATGTACCTAAGATATAGTGTAATGACGCCCCTAAGGATATAATAATGAATCTTAGAGACTATGCAACGACACACCCCCATGATGGTGTAATAATGCATCCCAGATACGATATAATGACACCTCCTGAAAATAACGTAACAATGCACCCCAAATATGATGCAACAACACACGTCAATGATGGTGAAACAACACACTCTGAATACGGTGTAAGAACACCTCCCAAAGTTGGTGTAACAAGAAACCTTAGATAAGGTGAAACGACACTCTCCGATGACGGTATAATAACACACCTACATACAGATACAGTGCAATGACACCTCCTGAAAAGGGTTTAGCAATGCATTTTGAAAGATGGTGTAACAATACACCTCAAATATGGTGAGACGACACATCCCAATGACAGTGTAAGAACACACCACACATACAGTGCAACGACACCTTCCGAAGATGATATAACAATATACCCTGAAGATAGTGACTTTCTCTAAACTCTTAAAGCTCCTTCTTTGCAGCTCCCGACTCTGACCTCCATGGTTTACAGATGTCATCATGGCTCTCCACTACGACCTACGTGATTTACTGTTCGAGTAGCTCTCAAATTTGTCCCTTGCGGCTTACGGATGTCAACACAACTCATGACTACGGCCTACATGACCAACTACGACCTATGTGACCACAATTTGTGCAGCTCTTGACTCCAGACTCTGCGACTTATGAACATCATCACAACGATCCACAACAATCTATGTGACCAATTTTGTTATATGTGACTTAGCGCTCATGTAACTCCCAACTCATACCTCTACGACATACATACGTCACCTGAGCTCCTCGCTATGACTTATATTGCCAACTACAACTTATGCTGCCCATAGCTCACACAACTCCCAATACCGGGCTCTACTACCCACTAACATCAGCACAACTCGCCACTACCTATATGATCAACTACGGCTTACGTGGCCCTCTTGCCCATAGCTCACACAACCCCCAATACCGGGCTCTACTACCCACTAACATTAGCACAACTCGCCGCTACCTATATGATCAACTACGGCTTACGTGGCCCTCACAACTCCTACAACTTCTTACTACATCTTTTGTGGTCAATCAACACTTTATGAGACAACAATTTTCACCTCACACAACCAATTACTATCATGACTTTCAACTATAATCTATATGACAAGCTAGAGCCACGACCACCATCTACAACATTCATGACGGATTACTGTCTCCATCACAATTGACTACATTCCTTCAACCTACTATCATCGAGAACTACATTTATTACGAACAAATTATAACTATTATTGATGAACTACTGTTGCACACTTATAATGATAATGTTTTTAACTACATTTTTTCTAATTTAGAAAAAGAGTAGACTGATGTATTAAATTATTTCAGTTGTGCCAGACTCCATGATGTCTCTTTCTTTCTAAAATTTGACATAAAAATTGAGGTGTGCCATCGTACTTATTTGTCTTTAATTACCTAAGTATGTTTTAATTTTTCATTCAATGCTAAAATACTAGTTTATTATTTAACGGGTGCTTTGAACAGTCCTCAAATTCCCCCTCGAAAAGCAATCCAAAGTCCGAGGCTAGAATATTGAGAGGCAGCATTATTACAGCTAACAATCCTATAAAAAAAAATAAAAAAAAAAAAAAAAAGAAAAAAACATTTTAAAAAAAATCACGTTTAGAAGATCGAAATGATATCTTGTCGGTATCCTCCTCTTTTCTAACATTGTTTCGTATCACTTACCACTCATTATGCACATCCTGAAATTTACAAGATGCTTCCTTTACTCTAATCATCCCCCTAAATCAGGGGAAAATTTTGTGTATTTAAGAAGTTTGCAGAGCTGCATATATTGGAGGTTATACATAGGATATTTGGGGGTTATATTCACGTTATAATCCTTGTAACATCTTTGTAACCTACCTATAACCCCCCACTACCCTCTGAATAACCTCTGATGTACGTAGATCTGCAAACGTCATACGTACGCAAATTTTTCTCCTAAATCAGGAGAAATATGTGTCGTAATACGCACACAATTCTGCGTGCGGAATTTCATTAACCTCTCAACACCCTCATAATAACCTATGAATAACATCAAAATAAAACTCGCGAAGGTTATTGGAAGGTTATAAGGGTTATAAATTATTGAAATTAATACCTCAATAACCTCCCAATAAACACTTAATAACCGCGCAACCGAATTATTGCGGTATAATTACACACGCAGCTTTGCGTCAATATTACGTAGACAAATATTTCCCCTAAATTGGAAAGCCACGAGCGTAAAAACCATATAGCTTGAATGGTTTTGAGAATTTTCTTAATGTATGATTTTGCTCTTTGATTTTACAGACACCTTCATAAATATTTATATTTTTTTTTACTATAAATGGACTCAATTAATATGCATTAATGGCTACCAAAAATAACCTTCTGTGCATAGTTTTTAAGTCCGCCGTGGCGACTGCAACAGTTCTTTCTCCAACAAATTTTTTGTTGAAAAATAAATGATTATAAGACATTACCGTTGATGTCCCATAATTTTCTCTCAAAAAATAAAGAAAAAAGGGAAAAATGTTGAACTTAAAGCCTAAAAACCCAACTAATAATAAAATAGGATATATACAGAGGCAGAAAGGAGCATGATTGAACAATCAGCTCTCATCATTGTTTAAGCAAAAAAGAACAGACAAAATAAGCCCACTAGAAAG